TTTTACCTTCGTATCGAGCTGCTTCTCGTGTCGAGCTTCCTTTTCTACAATTATGCGAGCTATCTTTTTATCTTCTTCTTTTAATGCTTCCTTATATTTCCTTTCCCATACTTTCTTAGCTGCTATAGCCGCGGCCATCTCTGTTCTAAAAAAAATCGCATTGTTCTTTTTTTTTTCCCTCGTCTTTGCATCTTCCTCTTGAGTCTTCTGTATTGCTTGTTCTATCATTTTGCGATCCTGTTCTTTCTCCTCAGTTCTTCTTTGTTGAACTCGTCGCTGATTATCCGCTAATTGATTCTGCAGATCTTTGCGCCTACTTTGCTTCTTTTTTTCATCTTCAGCTTGTTGCAGCTTCTCGAAAATTTTATCTTCGTGCCAATGCTTTAATAGTTCCGCTTGATTTGCTTCCAAACGAACTTTTTCCTCTATTAAATGCGATTGGACTTCCTTCAAACCACAACTCGTTGGTGATAGTGCGAAAGATTTTATGTAATCGTGTTTTAGCGCATGTTTTACTTCTTCATCTGTAATTCATAAAGAAATCGGTTTTGTGTACGATATCGCTAGAATGAATTAAGTTCTCCATGTAATAGATTCCAACAAATTTGGATATATAATTCGTAAATCTTTACTTTTACGTCGTGACAATTCAGCAGCTAGTCTATGCGTCACTTCAATCTCTTGTTGTTTCGCTTCAACAGCTTTTTGAGCATTCGATAATTCTTCCATTAAAGCGGCTTCTCGTTGTTCGGCCTGCAAACGACGTCGTGCGATTTTGTTATCGCCTCGCTTCACTATCACTGCTCGACTCGCTTCCAACACATCTTCCTTCTCGTCTTTTATCCTTTTATCATTCTCGTCCGTTTTTGTGTCCATTAAATACCATCCTCTACGGGTTTTCATCTTTACGTTTCGTCACGATGTAATTTTTTCCTGCGCGCCATGCTGCGCGCAATCGACGCAGCATATGCTTTGCGATAGTTGATTAATTTCAAGCAATTTGATATTACGTCTTCAATAAAAAAATAATGCAGGTATCGAATGATGAAAAGTTCATGAAATTGCAAGGTTGATTAAATACGAATTTTGCTTCTTAGAAGTTTATACTTATTTTGTTCTTTTTTTTTTTTAATTGAAGACTTACTGTATATAATTATATATTTCAGGGTGCAATTGTAAAGATAAATATCGATTTATTACTGCAATTAATAACGTTTAGAAAGTATAAAATTACAGTTATATGACTGTTTTCGCATTTGGAAGTTTAGTATAGTATTTATATAATTACAACGTAACTGTTAATTATTATTAGCTCAACAATAATTGACGAAAATTCTTACAAATTAATATAATTTCAGAGGACGTTTTAAAAAAATATTCAGAGGACATCTTAAAATATTTTCGTATTGTTCCTTGGATAAAATGTGCAACATGGATTGTTCAAGTTTTTTTAAGTTTTAAAATGTTTATATTTGACGTTTGAATCGCAAAAGTAATATGTAAATGAAGCTTTGAAACGTTAAGTACAGTTCACAATTACAAATGTTTCTTCAAAGCATTTGACATCAGAAGAAAGAATTTTACTAATTAACCAACCAAAGAATGTTTCAAAGCATTTGTAGCATTGGCTGCGTTCAGCGGACTCACAGTTGAGTGGTGTTCGCTTCTATTGATGTATTCTTCCAGATCTAAAATGCTGATTGGATGATTTAAAGAATACACTAATAATAGCGTACGCTCTCTCTCAACTATTTAGTTCGTTGAACGCAGCCATTAAGTGAATGTCATTATCGCTTCAAACTAAAATAGTGTTTTCAAGATCCGAGCGGATTTGGTCCCATTTGGGTTGGATAATGTTCTACTATTGGTTGACTTTATATATTCCTAGCAATAGGAGAGCATACAACATTATTAATCCAACCTAGATTGATACAAAATCCGCTCGGGTCGAATACGCTATAAAAGTGATTTTTTCAATGTGAGTAGAAAATATTTTTAATATTGAGTTTTAACTTAAACATATTGCTTTTTTTTATTAAAAGTCTTAATTTTATTGGATATTATCAAGTTATTCGCAATATCATTAATATACTTCGTAAGTGACAATCAGATGGCGCCAACCGCATTGCAATCGCAAAGGAAGGTACCGGATCTATTCACTACGAACGGAATCGTCGGAATTGTGTCTCATCTGGCCTCCATCTACGATAGCGGTGGACGCCAGGCGGCAAGTTTACTGTGTGTTTTTCGGTTTTCATTAATAAACCGTCATCACGTCTTTCCAATTCACATCGTTTGGGTACGTATACCATTCAAGTGAACTATAGAAATATGCTGATTTCACACACGTACTGAAAATACTATGATATTTATATTCGAACATACCGCTCATACATTACTTAGGTTATCCGGGAGCGTCATATTGATTTCCTATTTCGTTTATTCTCCAGCTATTATTTCAGACAAGTAAATACTAGAACGTTTGCTACGTATCAAATATGTGAACACACATCCTGCTTTGTAAATTATTTTATTAAAAATCTGGAAAAGCATAATATAATTTATGCATATAGTGCTAGCTTAATTAACAGAATTATTCAGAAAAACTCAGATTAAACTGTTAGATATTAATTTTATCAATCAAGCTTTAGAGTTTTTACAGGTATAAGAAGAAAAGACATCTTTGTTTATATAATTTGAAGGAAAATATAGTTTAATGTAAAATTTTAATTAAAATTTAATTCTATGAGACTATTAAATATTACATTTTCTCATAGAAAATAAAAATTTATATTTTTCATATTTTTGTGATAAAAAAGAATATGAATACAAGTGCAACTGAATTTATATTTGTTCCTAAGTTAAAATTTATTTAAGATTAGGGAACCTATTCTGTAACTTTTAACAACTGTAACTATGGCAATACAACCGTTAAGAGTCACAGAATAGGCTTCTGTATGTATAAAATAAAATTATACATAATATTGCTATGTACATAACTCAAATTATTGGTAACATTTTTTGTTGCAGAAACAATATGGTACGAGGTCGCGGAGGAATGATCAGAGGTGGTCGAGGTGGTATGGGTCGTGGAATGGGCTTCCCAAGAAAGCAGTTTCTGCCACGACATCCATTTGATTATACACTCTGCGAGGCAGCTTTTCCACGTGTTAAACCTGCTCCAGACGAATCAGATTTCCAATCAGCTCTTGTGAAAAAGAATGCTGATATGTGTCCCACTCCAAAAGAACAGACTTCTATCTTAAATCTTGTAACTAAGCTACAGAGTGTTCTTGATAATCTGATTGTTGCGCCAGGAACCTTCGAAGCTTGTGTAAGTGTATATGTTAGCACAATTATAAATTAAAATAAATTAAATAAACAGTCCCTGTTTCTGTTTAATACCTCTATCATATATTATATATTGACATCATATTATTTATTTCTATTTACATTCTCTTTTAATGCAGCAATTAGAAGAAGTAAGACAAGTTGGCAGTTTTAAAAAAGGTACAATGATAAAGGGCCACAATAATGCTGATATTGTTGTCATCCTCAAAACTTTGCCAACAAAAACGGCGGTAGAGGCTCTTGGAAACAAAGTTCATAATGATTTGAAGGCTGTGAACCCGAAAGAAATCTTTAGAGTTACACAAACGGAGTATGGATTCGATATTGGAAACAACGAAGCTACTGTGCGCGTATTAATAACGACGTTACACCAAAATCTACGCAAGCTAGAATCGGAGCAACATTTGGACGTTAAAATCTGTCAAGGTAATTTTTGCATTTTTATAATCAATATAACTTAGCAATTATTAAAATATAATTTCTTGTAGGACATCTTGCTGCTATTAGACATTCTCGTTGGTTTGAGGAAAACGCTCATCATTCCAGTATTAAAGTTCTAATTCGATTGCTTCGTGATCTTAGAAGCAAATTTGAAGGTCTGCAGCCATTAACCCCGTGGATGTTGGATCTATTGGCACATAATGCCATAATGAACAATCCTAGTAGACAAGCATTACCAATAAATCAGGCGTACAAGAGAGTATTGCAGTTGCTTGCTTCTGGATTATTTCTTCCAGGATCAGCAGGTATATTAAAAACTTATTCTTAAAATTAAAAATCTTTGACTAGTTATGGAAATTATGTGATATAAGAAGTGAGAAAACAGTATGCTGATAATTCTCACAAATGCGCGATTGACGAATTACAAGAATTATTTGCATTTTAATATCAAACAGCTGATATTATATTTTATTTATTTATAATTTAATTTTATAAGAATTGCTACATAAGTATTATATTTTTCAGGTATTTCTGACCCATGCGAAGGTGGCAATATACGCGTACATACAGCATTAACACTTGAACAACAAGATCTCGTATGTCTCACTGCCCAAACGTTACTACGTGTACTGGCTCATGGTGGCTACAGACCATTACTGGAAGGCACCAACAAACTCGCAGTAGAGATGAGCGTGTGGGCAGGAGGCGTAGTGGCAAGCCCATTAGAAAAGGCGTACGAGCCACCTACGGAGCAGGAACAGCAAGAGGACATGGACGAAAGTACTGAAGAGATGATCACCGAAAGTATTTAGGATCTTGAAGAAAGTGGGAACGTTTTGTGAGTTCCTCATTTTGTATGAAAAGTTACTTTCTTTTCGGTGTTTCTTATAAAACGTATTGTATTTATAACGTATTTGCACACATACATTTCGATGATGAATGAATTACATTAATATTTAAAATTATACTTTTATATGGTGTTTATATTTGCACCATAAGCAATTTGATGATGGTAATGTGAGATTTGACTTAAAATAAAGTATAGATTAATGTGCATTCTACCGATTAACTTATTCTATTTCTAAGAATTTTTCTATAGCACTTTAAACATTACACTCAACAATGATTGTATAAATGCCATTTGAAAGAAGAGATTTGATCTCTGAAGATTAGTTTTATGTAAATTTTTTTTATTGAAAAATGTCTTATTGAAATCTGATCTCCTTAAATTTGGATAATGACTGTGTTGCAGTGATATCGTGTAAATATTTGGGAGATCAGCTGGTTTTTTTTTTTTACTATTTCGAATATACTCGTCCACGTATTGTCTACTGATGAGGTGTGCACATTAAATCTCATAATATTGTGTACACATTATTCGAAATATGCCTATATTTTGTATGCACTTTGGCAGTGATGTACACGTTATTTAAGCGTGTAACAAAGTGTATAGTAGAATACATTTGTCTTCACTTAGAATCTAGTGTAGGCAAGGATCATTCTCCGGAGTTTTGACGACTCGTGCGCAATTAACCGTACGAGAACTTGCACCCGGTCGGACTGGTATCTTGAAAAGTTTGCCCTGTGGCATACATACACAAACTTTGTACTGCTCATAGCTCGTCGTCGGGCTTTGCAGGAACATCGGTGCTACCGGAATATCCTCCACGTCGATGAAAACGCCATCCTTGGCGTCCAACACGACGCTGCCATTTACACTCTTTAAGAAGATATCAAGATCGGCACTCCACACGATATCCTTGCTTTCTATGTGTACGCCCTCGGCACCGTGCAATGAGACCTCATTGTCAGACTTGACTGCCAGGCTCTCATTGACTGGTGACGTAATTCGATGAGTCTCTGCGATTCTTACGTCGATCGTTTCGACGCCGTTTGGTAGACCAAAGTTAGGGAAGTCTGTAGTAAAGTAAATTGTACCGGTACGTGGATCCTTCACTTCAAATGATTCTACTTGCGACATAGTGGTACCATTCGGTAAGACGCCTAGCTTCGAATGCAGATATGCTTCGTGGGTGTATCCGCGACTCTTCACATCAACATGTACTCCTGCTTCATCACCAGATATTTCCATTGGCTCATCGCCGTAACTCTGACAGATGCCTGACTGCAGGGATATCTTCAGAAAATGTAAAATGTGTATAATATTTGCGAAGATATATCAATATATTGAGTAGCATAAAAAGATTATACTTATTATTAAATTTTTATTGTTTCAGACTTTTTTATATTCTTATATATACATATATTATCCGTCTTTAAATATCAA